CCTATACTAAACGCTCTGAGCAATGAAAGCTACCACTGCCTAAAGCCTTCACCACCCTGTCTACCTGTCACTCCACTTTCAAGGAGCAATGAACTCTCGATGTCTTTGTTCTAAATCACTTCTTGCTATCGATTTCACTTTGTTCCTCACTAACCAGGCGACCCTGCCCCCTCTACTCGATTGAATGTATATCCTGGGTGGGGGGGTGGGTGCGGTGGGGAGAGACAATGTTCGGGCTTGTGCTGACAAGTGGGAAGTAACATTCATGTCACACAAATACCAGGCTATGACCATCTCCAACAAGACAGAATCTAACCATCATGCCCCCCCGCCTTGATGTTCAATGGTGTCCCCATCACTGAACCCCGCCCCCCCCCCCCCCCCCTCCCCCCCAAACTATCAACATCCTGGGGGTCTCCATTGAGCAGAAACTGACCCGGACCCCAGCCCCATATCAATCCTGTGGCTACAGGAGCAGGTCCGAGGCTGGGAATCCTGTAACTCCCCTCCTGACTCCCCCCCACCTTCCCCAAAGCCTGTCCCACCATCGACAAGGCACAAGACAGGAGGGGGGAGGGAATACTCCCCACTTGCCCTGGATGGGGGGCAGCTCCGACAACACTCGAGAAGCTTGACACCATCCAGGGACAAAGCAGCCTCCCCCTCACCACAGCACCCCCCACCCCGCCCCGCCCCCATCGATTGGCACCACATCCACAAACATCCCGCTCTCCCTGCCGCTCAGGCACAGTCGCAGCAGTGTGTACCATCTACAAGATGCCCTGCAGAAACTCACCAAACACCCTCAGGCAGCACCTTCCAAACCCCACGACTCACTTCCATCCAGAAGGACAAGAGGCAGAAGGTACATGGGAACACCCAGACACCTGCAAGACCCCCCCCCTCCCCATCCTGACTCGAAAATATATCTCCCCGTTCCCTCGGTGCGGCTGGGTCACAATCCTGAAATTCCCTCCCTAAGGGTCAACCCACAGCAAACGGAGAAGGAGGCAGCTCACCCCCCCACCCCCACCTTCTCAAGGGGGCAACTAGGGACAGAGTGATAAACGCTGGGGCCCAGCCAGCGACACCCACATCCCACCAGTGAGTAGGTAAAAGCGTAAAGCGACGCTGGCTCTGACGCGCACACACAGAGAACGAGCGCACGCACAGGTCCTTACCTGTGTAACATGTGACATGTTACTGTAGCCGTGTTGAAGCTGCTGATGGGGATGAATGGCGTACACAGCCTGCTGGGGGAAGCTGCTCTGAGGAGACTGGGGGTTCGGCCCAGGGGTGATGGAGGGAGGGGTAGGGGTCAGGGCAGCATGGTACAGGCTCTGCTGGGCTGGGGCACTGCTCAGATGTGGCGGCTGGTTCGTCTGATGCTGCTGGTGCTGAGGGATGTGGAAAACATCAGAAAGTGAGGGATATTGTCGATTACCAGGAAATCACCGGCACACGGACAGGGGCGTGGGGGAGGGCGAAACGGAGAGGCAGGGGGGGGGAGGGGGAACGGAGAGGCAGGAGGGGGAGGGGAAAACGGAGAGACAGACGGACAGTGCTCTGAGCAGGGAGGCGGCGTCTGGTACCTGCACGGGGCTGGGAGCTGCGTGCTGACTCTGTTGCTGACTCCCAGTAGGCGTTGTTGCTGGCTGTGGGTGAGCGGTGTGATGGTGCAGGGGAGCAGCGTGTGTGTAAGGCTGGGGAACGCCGGCAGACACTGCGAGGGGGAAGAGAGACGGAGAGTTAGCAGTGTCCCACAGGACAGCCCCTCACTCCCATCCACCCTCAGTCCCCTCTCCCCACAGGGGCCTCCTTACCGTACATGGCCTGGGGTGGGCCCTGCTCTGCAGATGGGTACTGTGGCCCAGAGCTCGACACAATGGCCTGAGGGTGAGCTGCTGATCCAATCATCCGCGGGTTACTCTGGATCATGGAGGCAAATACTGGCTGGGGGGCAACAGAGAGACAGTGAGAACAAGAGAGAGAGACAGACGGTGCGAGCGCGAGAACCAGAACGAGAACAAGAGAGAGAGACAGACGGTGCGAGCGCGAGAACCAGAACGAGAACAAGAGAGAGAGACAGACGGTGCGAGCGCGAGAACCAGAACGAGAACAAGAGAGAGA